CTACCACTATACACACTACTCTCTCTCTCTCTCTCTCTCTCTCTCTCTCTCTCTCTCTCTCTTTTTATTCCCCTCATCTCCCTCTGCTGTATCTTCCAAACTGGTGCTCCGGAATCACCTTCATCTCTTGCCCACAACATTTTGTATCGAACCAATCATACTACTTCGCCGGCAGACCACATTCATTTGACTACCTATACGACACACTCGCTCTACCATCAAGAGACGCAACCATGAAAGCCACTACAGCGGGTTTCCTGTCTTCCTTGGCCACCTTGGCAGCAGCCGCCCAGTCCGAAAGGACTTTTGCCGTGCTTCGTTTTGACGGAGATGGGTTCATGACTGAGGGAAGAGTCGATCCCATCGTCAGCCCGGGTACCGCTGCCAGTCATTTCCACGGTATTAGTACGCGCTCCCTATCTTATCTCTTGATTTGTCTTGTAGCAACATATGTATATATATATATGTATCATATGGTGCAATAGTGCAGTGACGTGAGGCAAAGTTGCCCCGGGAGGGAAAAAGAAAAAGAGAGGCTGCCTGCAACTTCATGTTCAACACCTGAAGGAGGAAAATTTAAAGAAAAAACCGATAGTGCTAACACATGTTGAAGTGGGCGGAAGCAGCTTTGGCACGACTGTTGACGGCGACCAGCTGCTCTCATCGAGCTGCACCAATGCCAAGATCAAGAACGATCGAAGCAACTATTGGGCTCCCGAGGTCTATTTCCGTGATCCTAACAATGGCACCTTTACCAAAGTGCCCCTGTTCTACATGAACGTCTACTACTTGTAAGTCTTGCGCGTCGCAACTTGTCATGAGCCAGCCCAGTGATTAAAACTTGCTCCCCAGCTTTGAGCCTACGGATGACGATATCGAAGCATTCCCCGTCGGCCTCAAGATGTTTACTGGCGACGCCAAGACAAGAGACCCTCCCGCCTTTGGTGGCGGAAGCAACCTCGATCCCGACGCCGGCCCCATTCAGAACATCCAGTTCACCTGTCCGCGGTCAAGCTACGACCCGCCTTCTTACCCGACGGACTCTGACGGAACGACAGCCGGAATGCAAGATCCCCAGAACAAGGGTGCAGGAGCTGGATTCCCTCTCTACCCTTGTGATGGATATGCTTCTCCTCTGCGGGCAGATATTCATTTCCCTTCCTGCTATAACCCAGACGCGGGATTGGACGACTACAAGAACAACATGGCGTGGCCCACCATCACAAACTTCAAGCAAAACTGCCCGTCTGGTTGGATTCACGTCCCCCACATCTTTTTCGAGCTTTACTGGAACACGCCCATGTTTGATGACCTGTGGACTCCGGATGGCAAGACGCAGCCCTTTGTCTTGTCCAATGGAGATGCTACTGGATACAGTCTCCACGGCGACTTTATTGCCGGTTGGGACCTGCCCACGCTCCAAACCATCATTGACACGTGCAATGCTGGTGATATCGGCATGGACAAGTGCCCCAACATCCCGGGCGGCCTCAACGACGACAACGACTGCAAGATCAGCTCCCCTATTGTTGAAATTTTGAGTCTCAACGCGGCCTTGACTGCGCTTCCCGGTGACAACCCATTGACGGGCTGGAGCTTTGGCGGATCGAGTGATAGCGGCAGCAGTGCGTCGAGCAGCAGCGCGACAGGCTACGCGACAGCGTCTGTCGACCAGTCGAGCACCTCGGCTTCCAGCAGCGCACAAGAAACCACCTACGCCGTGTCACTGGCAAATTTGGATGGAAAGAAGGGCGAGGCCGCGTCAACCCAACCTACTGCTGCGCTGCCCACAGAGGCAGCCGTCTCTGCCGTTGCCAATAATGCTGGCTACAACACGGTTGTCATTGATGGCACTGGCATTCCCGTCAGCACTGTTTGGGACATTGTCACGGCAACTGAGACGCAAACTGTTTGGGTCGAGGAGACTGCGCCGGCCAAGCGTCAGGAAAAACACGCCGGTCACATTGCCCGGCACAGACGCTCTGGTCACTTTCATCACTGATCGGTTTCAGTATCTTCTGATTCTCGTGTATAAAACTTTACTTTTGGGACAGGATTACAGAGGGTGTCTATTTAGACAGGGATGGAGTCAAAGAAAAAGGTACACTGGAGGATTGACACTGGGTTCTGTTTCCCCCCCCCC